ATCTGATGGTTCTGGAACAGATTGTGGGGAAATGAATAAATGAATTCGGAAAGTATGTGAAAGTTTTACTTCAAATTGAAGCAGGCTAATATTACCTCCCATACGACCATAATCACTGCTATGATTATAATGAGTAAGGGCAAGGAAGGTTATATTGAAACCAATGTTCTAAATATCTTCAAAATGTAAACTGTTTGGATACATATTCAAAAATGTATTATTTTTTATATGTTCATTCTTTTTAAAATTTAACTTTTTAAATTAACTGAACTGACGGACATGACACCAAACTGGACAATTACCTTCCCAAATATTAACAGCTACAGTTTGTGGTGCAGTGGTGCAGTGCAGTGGCGTTCCTTCTTTAGCTGAATGTTTTAAAACATTATATAAACTAGAATAAATTACTTGCAGTTTGGAAGTCTGGCAAAACAAATCTTTGCAAAATTAATTAAAAAATATAAAGATATTAAAAACTTCTGTATCAGACATTTGTACAAAATATGAAAATCTTGAAACTGCTTTGAAATGTTCACAAAATGCCAACTAGTTGTTGGTGCTACAATATGTTTTGCCACCTGACAATTACCTTTCTCTACATCCACTGCCACATCATGCTCAGATGTCTGCTTTGGTAGCTCAGCATTGTATTTTGTCTGGTTGATGTCTGAAATAAGGTTATTCTAAAATTGTATAAAACAAATAAAGGAAAATGTGAGAACTTTTTTGTTTGAGCGTTACTACTCTATACTTGAACATAAATAAAGCAGCAGAAAATGAAAATAAAAAAATGTTACATCTGTTTTACACACATAAAAAAAGGATTAAAAATACATCAACATCATCAGATAGACATTTCTACAGCATAATATAAAGGTAAACTTTTACATAAGTATATAATTACCTGGGTGGAGAAAACTTGGGTTAAAGTGAGCAATGAGACTGTAAAAAGGTGAAACATCTGCATTTCTGTAGCTGAAAGTCTTCCCATCATGGGATTTTGGGTGATCTGCCTGCATCTTCTTTTGCATCTTTGAGTTTAGCCTAGGGTTGTTAGGAGGAGCATAAGTGAAGAACTCAGAAGCAATGCAGTTGTTATTCTCCCTAGAGACTTCTGGCATCTGGAGTATGATGCTGCTAATGGACAGTGCACTGGAACTGGGAGTGCTG